TCTTGAGTTAGGGTACTACAACTCCCGTTCTCCAGACCGCTGTTGTCTTCCCCGTAGTCATCGCAGTTTGACAGACACGTGTAAGCCAGCGCATGCTTTGTTCGCCTAATGCATTGAGCATTTCAGGGCGGATTTCTTCGATTTCAGCAGCCTTTCCATTTTTCAAGCTTTACACAACTTGTGCAATTTCATCTACAGTGATAGTAATATCCGTTGTATTATCCAGCTGCTCTGTAAGCAATTCTTCGTGCGGCTGCTCGGAGTTAAGGAATTCCTGAAAGGACTCTCTCCATCGCCGAATAATGTCCTCATCCTTGGTAAGAGGATGTCTAGGCCTGTTCTTCAGGACTCTTAGACTGCCTTTCTTTTCACCTATCTGAACGCAAACGTCCATTACTGAACGTCTTAAGTCAGGCGATACGATTATCAAACCGATCATCGACTTCTGTTTACAATCCTCCCGGTACCAGGTATGCTGATGCACTCTTCGGGAAGGGGTTCATAATGTTCAATTCGTTGCACAAAACTGCAAAAGCTTCATCCCGTTATTGTTGAGGTCGTTATTTTTTCAATCCCCCCGTTCCACTTTTCAGCGTCTACTCTGAAATGCGCGTTAATATCGCCCATCAGTATGAGGGACTCTGTATTCAGCGCTTCGGACGGAGCACACTATACTTCCTCAAAGAAGGTATCATATTCTGCCTCCAAATTGGGCGCATAACCCTGTATCAACGTCAACGCTTTATCCTGTGATAGCTTCAGTAGGAGGATTACCACCCTTCCGTTGACAGGCTTCCAATCAATGATTCCCTCTGCGAGGTTGGGTACCAACACCGGCCTGAGCGCGCGTCGTGATATCGGCACCTGATTAGAATAGATTCTACCCGCAGAGGTTCAACGTTTCAGAGCTTTGGTGCTTCGTTGAGTAAATTCGAACGATGTCGAGTTGGTAGCTTGCGGCATCACCAACTGGCTGGACCTCTTTCTTTCTGAGTGATGATGTGTTCCAATTTGCGACTGTATGCTCCCATTGGCGGTGTCGTTCTTGTGGAGCCTTTTCTGACGTGCTATAATGGCATCGCGCTTTATGTCTCCTCTGTTCACAAAGGGTGGCGACTCCGTTTGTGACTAGTATCTTCGTCGTCGTTCCGTCGATCTTCGTCATCCGTTTTTGTGTTGCTATGCCCCCGGCTGTCAGAGGGTGATTAACAGGTAATAATCGCCGACTTTTCGCAGCCTACCTCAGTCCCCCAACGGCGTGTGCGGCCCTTGGTAACCCGGGCGATGACCGAGGGGGGTATAATTTTCGATGACGTCAATATCATGAGTTGCAGGTAGCGAACTTTTATGGAGACTTCGCCAGGGTCTTAAACCCTCCTCCTTTCTCAACCGGGCTTGGGACCGGTAACGGCGGAGTTTGGTTGTTTTATTATAAATATCTTAACGCTTCCGTTTCTCTTCATCGAATCATGTAGGAGGCATGATTAAGAAATTAAATTCGTTGTCTGCTGTTGAAGTTGAAATGACTCAGTTGATTTTCTTGTACTTCCTAGCTAAAAAACTAAATGAAACCTCAAGCTCTGTAATGAAAAACGAAGCACTCGCTGTAATATGCTGTGCGTTAATCAATGTCAGTTTTTTCGTTATTTCACTTTAAAACAATTGTAGGTGGTTTGTTAATGGCACGCACCCGATTGTGAAAGAAAAGACGTGGAACTTTAGCGGCGAATACTGGAAAAGAGACTGGTCAAAGTGTCCAGCCTTGTTTTGATTTGCGACGCCTGTTTTTCCATACTTGAGCTTATTTTGTTAGGAATGCTTTGTGAAGGAATGCCTGGGCATAATCCATGTATGGTATTGAAAGGTTTCAGCTTCAGTTTCTACAGCTTGCCATGAAATCATATAACCTTGAATGCATTTCTCAGCAGCATGTTCATGATCTTCTTTGATGTTACGGAACGTCGTGGTTTAGAACGCGGCGTATATGCACTTTATTTGAAAGTAAAATCTTGTTCTCTTAAGCTCGTCTTGTACTTCCGCAACATTTATTTAAAATTTTCACTTAATGTTTTGTAGCTTCTTGAATTGCCGTGTAGGGCAGTTGTTGAGGGCTTTCTTTTATTACTTTCTGCAGGTATCAAAGCGTTGAGTTCAGTTCACATGCCTTGAGGGGGAAGAGTAATAATCAACTGTTATTACTATCAGTTTATGTTATGTAATTACATCTTCTTGCTTTTAGGGGTTTAGATGGACATTCTAACTGGCCGACCTTCATATTACGTTTGTAGCTGCGATATTTCAAGGCACCTCGCGTCGCTTATGTGTGTATAGTTTAAAACTTTCGGCACGACTTCAATCGTTGACTTTTAATTTCATGAAGTTTGCATGTGAAAATGGTTGTCTAATGCATTAACTTCTAGCTCCAGTTTCATTTGTATAATCTGAGTATTTCACGAGTTAGAAGAAACATGATCTACCTGAAGGAACTTTTGGAACTTCTTGTAATTGTCGGCTAAATTCAGAGATTATCTTTATGCTGAACACCAGTCTGTAAACAGTTTTAAAACAAATAAATGCAACCAGCAATGCGTCATAAAGTGATTAGAGTGGCACGGAGCCAATTTGTCAATTGTCTGACAGTCAGTGCAACAGATGTGATAGTACGCAGTACTAATTTTGTGCCATTGCAACGATGCTGTCTCACTGATCTCATCGTCATGTTTAATTTACAGTGTAGCACTGACTACGAGTTAATGGAAACAGCAATTTTTTAACCGATTTAAACATTCTAAATTCATGTCAAAGCTGAAACAAAGAATTATTATAATACATGTAATCATCACGGACATAAGAATAACACGGCTCATCAGCTGAATTCACAAGACATCAACATTTCACGGTACGAACTTGCCATAGCCATGGTAATCAGCTCCAACATGCGGAATTACATGCAGTCCATCCGTTCTACGTCATTCAGCGCACGTCGATGAAGGCCACTGGCGCGTAGGAAAGAGGATAAAGACCATGCCAATTATCGACGACGATACATAGAAAATACGATGAAAACTTACTACAGCTAGGGTATTCCATTCCACTGTGTAAAATGGGCTGCTTCTATCCATTTCGTCCAGCAACTTCATAAAGCGCACTTCGACCATGGCCGTTGCAGCAAACTCATTATCGGTCACCCACTTTTGTTGCAGAACGGAGCCACAGCATGTAGGTTGAGTTTCCTTAAAGTTGATTAGCTGAAAGTTAAACACACTTGATATAGCATAAAAATAATTGGTTTGACGATTCTAATGAAACGCTGCTACTGCTGCACTTTTTTTAACACCCAAAAGTCAAAAAGTTGTGATGAGCACATTTGTCTCAGCTGAATTACAGGTAGAGCATAGGAGACGAAACCCTTCAGGAGATTGATCAGTTCGCTAATATACCGGTTTCATCATTTTCAGCGATGACGCTATCCAGTCAGCAATGACACGGCTCTTTTCCAAGTGCAAGTTACCTCAGTAGATGGGAAGATTAAAGATATGAGGCTGCCTCAGCTAGACAAACTGGCTGACCACACGTCATTTAATCCAGCCAGTGAGCTTCTCATATGGAAATAGAAACACACGTCGATTAGGAGCCCAGCATATAGTACGAAGAAGCAAGAAAGAGGAAGACTGCATTCGGAGAGGAATATTTGTCTCTGCGATGCAGTAATCGGTGTTTCATTGCAAAAGTGCTTTAAAACTATGGGTACAGTGGACATCAAATGCCAAGGATGCGCTGTTTATGCAGACTGCTAAGGATTACGATCTTTGGAAATAATAGCAGACTCCATTAGGGGTAAGTTTTCAAGCTATGCGGGAGACTTCGTCACGATCTTAAGCTTTCCATCTTTCTCATCCTGGCTTGTGGCCGCCATCAGTGGAATATTATAATTTCCTAAACAACGCAAAATACGTGTTCAGTCAGAAAAGGTAGCAAACCAGAATTTGTCTACATTTTCCTGCGAGATCACAGTGTACGCAGTAAATACGTAGTAAACAGCTATTCAAAAATGCTCAACCGCAGGTGCTTATTTCGTTTTTACGTTTCTATTCCAATTATTTTACGGACCACAAACGTTATTCAGGACGTTGCATGTACGAACGGGCGATTGTTATTTAAGTTTTTTAATATAATTGATGTCATATTATTACGAAATACAAACCGTACTATAGAGCAATGGTCGAAGAAGGTGTTGCAGATTAATTGAATGATTTTTTAACAGTTATATTAAACATGAAAAACATTACATGAGAAACTCATTTTCTCCTACCAGGCAAAGCCAGTTCATTGATATACGTTGTTGATAACATATTCAGTCCATCAAATATCTTGAAATACGTTATTCGAAGGTGTGAACGACTGAATCACAGGGTATTTAGTAGGTCAGCGAAACGACGAGGCAAAAACTGATACAGAAGCACAGGCAAATCGCAAGATACAGACGAGCGTGATCATCGAAATTAAGTAATAGTTATCTTTGTTAATCACAAAGAAGGAACAGTGTATTGTTGTTTATAACCTGCCATGGCTCTAGGGAATGCCCTGCATTGCTGCTTGGCATACTGAAAAGCAACACATGAAAACGAGTTTCGCAGATTGCGTTGCATGCCAAGTCCGGAATATCAAGATATGACAGTTGACCTTGTCAAGCAGTCATCCTGAGTAGTTATTTTTCATTAAAACTCGTCGAAATCAGGCAATTTCTAAATGACATGTTGAAATATTTAAGGCGTGAACGCTGCCGATGAAACTCACAAAATGGTGAAAACATCCCCTTTACAAAACTGCAAGGAGGGCAGTTTAAAGCGAGACTGAAAATAAGGTAGCTTTATTATCCAACAAGCTTAGCCTAATTCCCATTTGGAAACCAAAACATAGAGCTTTCCAGCTTAGCGGCGAATCCGTACCGATGGATAGGCAACCCGAGGAAGTTGCTTCCACTAACTGAACGGAACTCCTGACTTTAAAAATGAATGAATGATAAAAATTATCCGCATAACCTTGGGCCGACAACAGAATTCTCGAATCTGCTATGCGTGTTCAATATTGCCATGCACTCGTCACATCACAGCAACATTTCTCGTCCTTCCGGTATTCTTCACTCAGATTGAATATTGCATCTTCCAGCACCGCCGTCATATTGTCCGTGGCTGCATTTCAGCATGATTCGCAGTTTAGTTTGCAGCCAATATTCACATATGACGGCTGCTGATTTATTCTTATTCCCTGAAAGTACTAGACCGTGTTTGCCTTGCATCGGCAAAGAGCCGATCCGAGTGGCTCGACGGAAAGAATGGATTGCACTGCCAATTGGTCAACCTAAATGACAGGCTCGGTAACTGATGTATTACATTTTGAATATCACAGTTTATTTCTAGCGAATTACGCTCGTGAATCATAGTTTGAAGTTAACCAGTAGTAAGGGAATAAACATAAACTTCAAGAGATGGAAACAAATCACGAATTGACGAAATCTGTCCCTTGTTTCAATATTTATTATATTAGACTCAACAGATTCTTTCTAAATTTTCAGTACAAGTATAAGCTGTTTTCATCTTCTACAGAGAGTACTTCTTTCCGTGATATTAAGTCTTCTTGAATAATCTATTGACGTCGTTGCTGTTCCACGCAGATGTTATCGGTGGTGTTGTCTTGCTAATCATATTGCCTACAAAATTAGGTCGTCAAGCGAACGTGAACTTAAGCTGGACGTAGGAAGACGTTGGTCATTCTTGGTCGTAGCTATAAATCCATAAGTAACACGCTTTTGCAAGTCAAATTACTGTAATTTTTTTATGTATTTTTGTAGGACATGGTCAGTTTAAAGCAGCAGATTGATGTGCTGGATTATTTCGGTCCTGTGTGCGTTTTCATCAGCTTTTTCGCCATAGTCTTCGTAATATCCGTTACTTGCATCTTGTGGTTCTGTGTCAGTGACACGGATGATGTGACCGTGTTCTCTAAGGTGGGTTTTATAATCTGAATCATCTTATTTGTGTGTTGTTTATTGCTTGGCCACTGTTGTTAACTTGCTTGGCCACTGTTTTAAGCACATGTCATACCGGTTTGTAACATCTGTGCTGAAGGTTGTTTCGCTGTTTACATATTGTGTTTTAGCGTTTGCTGGGAACCGTTTTTCCCCACGCCGGGTCTGTTTTAGGGTCAAAGCCGGTTCTGGGGTGCAGCAGCAGTTGTTGGATGAAAGACGCTTCAAAAAGGTTCAGCAGTGTTCTGTTATGCAGCACTGCAGATCAATAACGCGTTCACGGTATTTACTGACCTGACGAGTTGTTGCTGTTTCATCCTGCTCGCTCAAAGCAGGTTGATTTCTTGCTGCAGTACGGTCGAGCCATCGTCATTCGAAAATTGGCTGCGTTCAGACAGGAAAACACAAGAACAGTCTGACCTGGGCGAAGTGTTGCACAACTAGTTTCAGATTTCCCTGCTCCTCTGTTAGTTTTGTTTATAATGACTAGAATAGAACCATATTGATGCCTGTTTTTCAGTGGGCGAAG